CTGGCAGAATTCAAAGCCTGAGGTGACCGTGCACCTATTTCGCTGCATCGTCTTCCATGACACATTCCTATGGATAAACACAAGTCTGTTAGAGATTTCACTGGCGGCTCATACGAGATTTCGTCCCACTTTTTCATCACCCGTGAGTTTACACCAGGAGGAGACACGATTTTTACCAACCTCCCATTTATCGTCCTTACTTATGGATTCATCGTGGATTTACTGTTATACTACGGATACTTCAGTGAGTTCATCGGTGTAAACCCAATACGGATAACAATCACACAACGTGTAGTCCAAACTTGACCCTCCAATTAGTCATTTACCGTTGTGCCAAGCGTTGCACACTGTGGCCCCGTAACCAAAGGGGTAGAGGTTTCGGCTACTATTCCAATGGTCGCGGGAACGAGGCCTTCTCTCCACCTGATGAGATGAAATTACATCGAAACGCGTCATGGTTGTGCAGTGCTTTGGGATGGACAACGCTCAGTTTCTATCTGCTTTGAGTACGGTCCCAGTGATCCCAGTGACAAAGGTTCACTTCAATGTGAATCACAGCCCATTACATTGAGATTGCATGTCGCAATCCAATCACACAACGTGTAGTCCAAACTTGACCCTCCAACAATGTTTTATATTTTGATGTTTCACCATAACCATCGTACGGAACCTGTAAAGCATTAGCTATTTTTCACCCGTATAAAACTATTGTGCCATTGATCACGGTTTAGTGTATTTGGACGATTTTCTTAGCAATAATATAGTTCTTCTGGTTTTCAAACCTATATATATTAAGAATAATATATTATCTGTCTTACGTAAATTCCCCTTTTGTAACGTTCAAATTTTTACGTTTGCTTCTTATAGTGTTCACAGCAAATCCCAAGTGTCAAGCAGAATTAATAATGATGTTTTAAGCCACATGGTTGTGCAGTTCACAGCTTTGAATTTGCACATAATAATTCATGGATCCCTCCTTGTAAGGACTAAGTAAGTTTTCCTATACGTGGGTGAATGATGAGGAGCAATTTTATGGTAGTAAGTGAAACATTTAAACTGAAATCATACTTATTGAACATAGCTTTTAATCTGGATAGGTATTTTTATATCTTGTGGCGTTTAAAACGGTAGTACAGAAATATTGATGTATCTATTTACTTTCCGTTTGATAAGAATCAAGATCAGTAATCAATTCAGGTTAAAGGATTTTTTGGGCATACTCACATCAGACACAAACTTTTAAATAGCACTGATTATTTGTGGAAAGCGTCAGGTCTGTGAGTACTTAATGGGAGGCGGACGAACAATCTTGTTTTCCTTTGGCCTCTATTTGGACTGCGACCGAGCGTTAAGAAGGCTTACAAGTCACATGACTTTCAACGGTTACCTGCTCCTCGATTGGCCAAACATGCAAAATATTTTCTGAGTTCTGTGCCGCTATACGTTGGAAGTTCGGGTGCATTGGGTAGTGTACTACAACTCGAAGGTCATGTATACCGGCAATCGATGATTTTGGTCCACAGTTTATCGCTCTTCTGCCATGCGGTTTAGGCTATTCTGGCTTAAGACTCCGAGTGACGTTTCGTAAGTCAACCGTTTCATCAGTCAAGGAAACCGGAAAGTTGTCTGCGCACCTAACAAACGAATATGAATAGGAAAATACCTAGCAGTTTGCAGTATTTCGCATCAAGCAATTAGAGTTAAAAGAATGCAGAAACAACGCAGCGCATAAACCGGTGAAGGCTGAGTTGAGAATAGGTGATTGGGGAGCACTTGGAAGATACTGCCACACTCGATCGATAGTCTAGTTCATCAAATGAGGACAAGCGTTACAGCCGTCTACCGCGGGAGGAAAATTGCTCTTGGCCGAGCGCATGGTTAGACGCCTGGTCATATGTCCAATGTACCTTGCATGCGGAGCGCAAATGAATTGATATAGAATATACAACTTGAACTGAGCCGGGTGTCTGCATTTAAGACGTGAGGTGATAAGCGGGATAGTCTGTGCGACACCATATGTGGGTACGCTGCTGCATAAACTTTGATTACTGCAACCGAGCATCTTCTGTTCTGTAAATCTAAGGCTACATCCCGTTGAATGGCACGGTGAGAAAGACATCACATTTAGGAACACTGATGACAAGTTTCGGATGCAAACAGACAGTGCCGTGCTTACCGATGAACGGAATGTGGTAACCATTCACTTGCAGCGATGTAAGGATACGGTCATTCGCTTTATCCAATCTCTTCGGGCCAACATTTGTGGCAGCGCGATAATATAGACAGCGAATCAAATTTCTCTTGTATTTAAGGCAAGAAGCTCAAAAATTGCGTTCATTGGTCTGCGCGTGGGGCGGTGGAGGGTAATTGTTGGGTATCGTGAAGACCTTCGTAGCAATAGTGAAGGGCCCGGTACGACGTTGTGGCACTATCTTATAATGTGTGGGCGGAGAGGAGGGGGGATACGTTCGGGAGCGAAGTGCTGGTGGGGAATGGGGAGTGTGCGGGGGGGCGGGGGCGG